ACAATTATGATATTTAATAGACTAAAATTGTTCAATTAAAAATTGAAGGACTAAAATTGCACAATTGCAATCTAAAATTACCCAATTAAAATCTTAGGGATCAAAATTGCACAATTGCAATACTTGAAAGATCAAAAATACAATTAAGCATATAATTTTTTAGCTAAAAAAGTTAAAAATGAATGTGTAATTAGAAAAGTTTAAAATATTTATTTTTTAATTTAATAATTTAATTATAATATAATAAATTTTAAAAAAACTTATAAATTAAAGTAAAGAAATCAGAAGTGTCAATTTATTTTTCTAAGTTATTGATTTCTTATTTTTTAGTTTAGTTGTTTATTGAAAAATGTCTTTCTAATGTCATAATTTTATAATTTTAAAGTGTAAATTTTTAGTTAAAAAATTAAAAGTTTCTTATTTTATGTTAATAAAATAATATCTTTTAATTTCTTTATTTTTATGTTTAAAAACAAACTATAAATTAATGTAATTTAGATTTAAAAGTGACAAGGATAATTTACAAGTTTTTAATTATTTTTTTTAACTTTAATTGCTTCTAAATGAAGGAAAAAAAGTAAGAAAACAAGATATCTTGAAACCCTTCATTGAGTCATATCTAACAAATTATGAGAAACAATCTCACACTCTAGTGAATAAATTTTTATCAATACCATAGTACTTGACTCAACCATGGGTTTGACAGTAACACATGGTCGTTATGAATTCGATTAACAAGAACATGGAGAGGTTGGGAACCTTATATCGAAGATTTAATTCGAATGAAAATAGAAAGTACTACTACTGTGATGAATTGGAATGCATATTCGATAAACCCTAAACACTTTGATTTTGAAATGCAAGAATTGCTTTACTCCATCCTCTTTCAACCGTCAATAATTTATCTGTTTTAAATTATGTCTTGTTTTTATTATAAAAACCAACAAAACTGTAAAATTGGATAACCAACAAAACTACTACATGGAGGTTATTTTTTAATAAAGTGGAGACCAAAACCTTTGTATTTCTTTTATCTTTAGTTAAGTTATAAATAAGTTTAAATTGATTTTTTTTAGAAGCTTGACCTTCAAGCCTCTTGACCTTGGATGGTTAGCTAGACCTTACCTTGGTTCCTAGTGAACCATGGTTAAGGCTAGCTTGCTCTCCAAGCTTCCTACTCCTATATTTTCATTTTTCCTTCATTGTAAAACACTTTTGGATGTATTGAGATTTCATTTCTGAAATATAGTTGAGATTTCTCTCTTCTAAAAGTCCCTAAACCTCTTTGATATTCATCCAATTCTCTTATCCCTTCACTAGAAGAGTTCGGCAAGAGTTGAAGAGGCTTATCTCTTCATCAAGGAGTGGCGCCTCTTGGGAGAGTTCTCCACCAAACCTTGGTGGTTCTAAGGCCTCCTCCTCCATAGGAGACCTTAGCCAAGCTTAGGAAGGATCAAGGAGCCGAAGATCTAGGGAGGAACTTGAAGAGGATTCACATCAATCCGGATTCTCCAAACAAGTTTCCATCAATCTGGGTTTGAGACTTTTATAAATAGTTTAAGCTTTTAGAAACTTGAGACATGAGTTAGAACTGATAATCAAATTGAGAAAAGCGTTTTTGTGGAGTCTTTGTGACCATCTTGGAGAGTTTTCTTTGTGAATCCAAGAAGAAAAACATTTGTGAAAAACTTTGAAAAGATCATCATCATCATCACATTCTTGAAAGGGGAAGATTAAGATTTGCTTCTGAATTCCAGGTGAATTCGTTCCTTGATTCTTTGTGAATATTTGTAAAATCTTGAGAAGGGTTTCTCAAGTGGTAAGGTTTCTTGTAGTGGGTTTCTACAAGGGGTGCTTTCTTGGGGTCAAGAAAGTGGTTATCTTTAGTGTTGAAGTATATGCATGTGTGGTGTGCTTGTAATCCTTCTTCAGTGAGATAGTGGAACAAATCTTGATCAGGTGCTGATTGAGGACTGGATGTAGGTCACATGTGGAGTGGCTGAACCAGTATAAAAGACTTGTGCAATCTTCTTCTACCTTTATCTTTTACTTTAAGTAATATCTTGGTTGGATATTAAAGAAGATAATTATTGATTAACATGTGTGTGTGAATATTGATGGTTTAATCTGAATTAGAGCATTACATTTGAACCTCATTATTTTGTAATCAAGAAAGCATATAGAATTCATTCTTCCATAACAAGTCTTTAAAGAAGCTTCATTTGAAAATTCAGTCTTAGAAAAGTTTAAGTGAAATAAAGATCCTAAATACTCTGAAATTTTTTAAAGGGTCATAGGATCCAATTCACCCCCCTCTTGGATTGTGCCATTCTTTTCTAACACCAACATGCTGGTGAGGGTTGTGCATGATAAAGCACATCCCATTTGGGGCTGCATTATACCCATATGATGATATTTGCATTTGAGAATTTTGCCCATAATATGGTATTGGCATTTCTACGCTCATGGGCTGGGTACTTCTCCAATTCGGAGGCATCCCCATGGGTATTCGCCGGTAACGTTCACCATTTCTTGTGACGCATTCAGAAATCCCGCGGTGTTCGGAACACTTACAAGAGGTGGAGACATTGCCCCCTTAGTCTCATTTGCCACATTTTCTTGATTTGTATTCCGATTTTCTCCATTACCCTGTTCTTCATTATGCGCATCTCTTCTGCCGGATATAGACATAGTTCTACCACTTCTAAGTCTCATAAAAATGTAAACACTCCTAAAACTAGTTTAGTTAGTTCAATATACTCAATCAAACGTGTCCCACCGGGCATGCCAATTTGTTTGTGGAGAATTTCGTTCGTAGGTTCTTTTTATTCAAACTAGCACGATTTCAATGTAGGGATGTGTGACATGACAGATTTTGCGACTTTTCAGCGATGAACCATACAAACAGCATGTGGAGTTAATTAATTGGGGTGCAATTTTAGCATAACAGAATATCGATGCTAATCATACAATCAATTTCATGCATGTGAACGTTGATGTGCATCGAATAAACAACATGTATATTGACTGCAGAAATCATATCCTTCATTCTATGTTAACAGAATTACAATTCATAAGGATAATGAAAAGGATTTAGAAGACTACACTACGCTACACTATGCTACACTAAAAAGGAAAAAGAAAGGGTGGTCGAGAAATCGTACCCAACCTTCTCGTGCACGTGAGCCATATGTGCAGGCGAAGAGTGCTTGTGAGGTGATGTGGGTGTGAGATTTCTGACCCCTTTCTACGAGCCTGGCTCGTCTATTTATAGAGATTTGGGGAATCAAGATAACTGTATCTGACGTGCCCCAAATGCGTAACTGCTCTAAACCTTCACATCGTGGCTCATTTTTGGGCATGTCTTTTGATAACTTCTGGAACCGCTTATAACTCCCCCAAACCGTTCTGCAGTCTTGATACTTATCCCCTCGATTTACTTCGACCTCTCTTAATCGTGTCTCTCCTAAGTTCTTCATTATGAGAGGTTGCGATGTATACTCATGCATGTCTGGATCCCTGGGATTTCGAGTGATCCACGAAAAGTATACTTGATGTTTCCTGATTCTTCTTTGAGAGGTTGCGAAGCTGTGAAGCCTTTTCATGAGTAGCAGCTTCAAGGTCCAAGGATTTCGAGTATTTTATGAAATATGTCTTCGAGTATTTCCTGGTTCTCCTTGTACTTCGTATGTCTCTACTTTAGAAATTTCTTTGTTATTTTCCGATCACCTAAGATTTCGTGAACTCCTATATATTTCGAGTATCTCCAAGTTCTCTTTTTTGGTGCTAACAGTGTGTTAAACATAAAATCTTTCTGAATTAAAAAATTTATTACTTGTTCAATAGAAAAGAACCACCATAACATTTGAGTTTACAAGTATTGCGAATAAAACAAATTTGATAGAATTTTGTAAACAGTTACCGAATTCGAAATTCCCGAATTCTATTCTATTCTCGATACAAATTTACACCGTTAACTATATGTGCGAAAAAGACAATTCATGAACGGATTAAATGCTGTAAATATCAATCCCAGTGTGAAAAGTATGAAATTATGTTATCATGGGAATCTGGTTAAAGTATTACTTTGGCAAAGCACCTTATTCTCGAATGGATATGCACCCAGAAATAGCTATCACGGGAACCATCGAAAGTATGAAAGTTTGTAAAGGAATCCAATTATTAATATAATTATAGTGTAAATATATAATTTGTACTATATATAAATCAAATATCAAATACATGTTAATTTTATATGCATGTTAATAAATATTAATATAATTATCTTATAAGTAATATTTTATACAAAAATTATACCTGTTAAATTAATTTATTATTTATAAATTTGTGATTTTTTTTAAATAGATAAGCTAGCCCATCAACTATAAATAATTAAATTAAGCTAATAAATTACTGTCTCCATCTCATTATTTCTCTGTAAAAATAATATATAAATTACTGTCTCCATCTCATTATTTCTCTGTATATATATATTCATTAAGAAAATCATTAATTGCACAAATTATTTCTTTGATAATATTTTTTTTGAATAAAATCATTTTTATTAAAAAGTTAAATATAACTATAAACTCAGATAAATATTTAGAGATATATTACTGAATAAAACCAATAATTAAAGAATAAATAATTTCTGAATTTTAAAATAATAAATACTTTTAGTAAGATTAAAACACTGAAAAATATAATAGATGAGAAATCGAGAATGGAGCCAATGCACACCGAGTCCCCCAAGAGAACGATGTCGGCATCTTTCATCCGTTCACGCGTCACACTTAGAGAAACGAACAAAATAAAGACTTTTCCCCCACAAAATAGATACCATTTTTTTTCTTTCTATAATAATCTTTTTTAATTTATTATTATAAAAAAGTAATTAATAATTCCGCGTTGACGTACACGTGGTCATGTCCGTAATTTAAGCCAAAGTGAGATAATATTTTGACATTATCCTCATTTCTAAGCTTATAAAAAGACTCTATTCACATGCTCTCTCCCTCACATCTCATCACAAACAAACCGAAGCAAAAGGCAAGCATTGTGAAAATTAAGAGAGTCTGAAACAATGTCTGGGATCATCCACAAGATTGAGGAGACCTTCCATGGGCACAAGAATGAGGAGCACAAAGGGGAGCATCACAAAGGAGAACACAAAGGGGAACACCATGGTGAACACAAAGGGGAACATCATGGGGAGCACAAGGAGGGTTTTATGGACAAGGTGAAGGACAAGATCCATGGTGATGGAGAACACAAGGGTGAGAAAAAGAAGAAGGAGAAGAAGAAGAAGCACGAGCATGGACATGAGCATCATGGTCATGACAGCAGCAGCAGCGACAGTGATTAAATCTTAATATGTTAAGGTAAATGTTTGTGTTTCATCGTTCACACAATACGTAGATGATCAAGTTAGCGGTGAATATATGTGTACATTTCTGTTGTATGTACGTAAAAATTTGTAAAATTAGTAAAAATTATATTATTATAACAAAAATTAGTTTTTAATCTAGTAAACTCATAAATAGCCATGAGATAAAAGAAGAAAAAAAAGTGTTTTTCATATTAAACTTGCTCATTTAATCAATGATTTACTCTGATGTTTACAATGTTGTTATTGGGTCAATTAATGGTTTTATTTCTTTTGACTTTTGAGATGGCAACGAGCGAGACATTATCTCTGCCTTTGTACGTGGTTTTTTTTTATAGCATAAACTAGAATAAATTTTGTCATTATGGGATTATACTATGCATTTCCCTTTCTCATAAGGAATAAAATTGTTAAACGCTAATTTATTTATTTATTTTTAGTATTTGTATATTATAAGGCATTGTTCAAATTGTCTATGTGAGCGAAACTTTGATTTTGTTCTGATCTGCTCGCGTGTCTTGCTCTCTAGATTTTCATTTTATTATAACGATTAACGAGTAACGTTTGATTTGCTCTATCTTTTATTTATTGCAGCAGGTGTATGGTACTATGGTAGTGAGGACCAGAGTCCCTTCTTTCCCTTCTATTATGATGTACTAATGAAATAATGTGTTGATCTATTTATGTATGTGGTCAATGTAAAACGTACACCGCTTTGGTTTGGCTTGGTCGTTGTATGTTAGATGAAGAAATAAATATTCTGTTTAGTTAATCTTTCTTATAACTAGTCTGCTCATTTTTTTTTTCTTTTTTACGTGTAATCAATAAATCTAACGTTAAGTAATTAATGTGTTGACGGTTATAAATATATTAATACCAGATTTGGTAATATATATTGAAAATATTTATTTGGTAATATATAAAATTTTTTGATGTACTTTTTTATGTTGAGTTTTATCCACACGACAAAAAATGTGACACGGAAAAATACTTGTAAATATGTTAAAATATTCTATAAAGAAAAAAATAAACACTAGAAGAGAGGTTGAATAATATGTATCAAAACTCGCACGTTTTTTATAGTGAAGTATAACTCTAGTCAAATGAAGCACAAAGAGTAGTCAGATGGAACACTGGGTATCTTTATACTGATTTATCTTAACCACTGAAACTACATCTAGTTCTCAATCTAACGAGATTGAGTTTCACTATCTTTAGACAAAGATACAAGTATTTTTTTCAACAAGCCACTTGTGGCTCAATCGTAAGTATTATTTAACTTGCTTCTTCAAGCAAGTATCCAAGTATTCTTTTAACAATAAATTTATTCGGACTTAACAACCAAATATTCTTTTATAGTCGAGCTTCTTCAAGCTCAAAACAAGTATTTTTTTAGACAAGTTTCTTTGAGCTTAACAATTAAATATTCTTTTACAACCTAACCTCTCTAGGCTTAAAACAAGTATTCATTTGCAGACAAGCTTCGCCGGGTTTAACTTTATAACAATGATTATGAAGGTTACACAAGTGTTGTGTTTGTCTTACTTAGACATTATACAACTGTATAGAGTAATGAATGTTTACAAGAAAGAATAAATTTATAGAGAGCATGTTTATGTACAAGTGTATTTATATGTCTATTCTTTCTTTTTTATATATGTATCTATTTATTTTTTCTTGAGCTTTGAATCTTCTTATTCAATAGTTTCTAGAAGATAACTGTTGTAACACTTTGAGTCTAGTTAACAAATTTGTTTTGTCTGTCTTCATCATATTTCTTTGTGATGGCAGGTAGCCGTTTGACTCATTTAATGCAAACATTAAATGTATTTCACCAAATAATACCTCTTATATATTTAAGGAGACTACTTATCAATTTTATATGCTAAATAAAGCTTGTAGAAGCAATATCAACGTAGTGCAACAATAGTGACTTTATTTACATTTCTCTATGATTTTAGGGATATTTATTCTTGGTCTTGACAAAAAGTATGATTTTGCTTTCTTTAACAGATTTATGAGATTCAAGATAATCTTTTAGTTCAATATGTTAAGGAATGAAATACTCAAGAAATTTTTTTCGCTAGTCTCAATAATAATAAGAATTTAATGTATATGAGATATATTGTATGTTTCATCTGATTTACATTTTCTTATAGACGATCTACGTCTTACACTTCGTCTAATAAGTATTTTCAAAGATATTTTCGAAGAAGTTGTTTTTAGACATTTCTCTTATAAAAACGTTTTGTTTATTAGCATTAAAACTCTAATCTCAAGGGATCCAAGATCATCTTTTGACTAAACACATTTTATGACAAATGTTAACCTATCCGTCATAAAAAGAATATTTTATGGCAGGTAAGTCAACACCCATCGTAGAATGTATTACTCATTCTTTGACTCCGACCTCTCTATAACGAGTGTTGACTTACCTGTCATAGAAAGAAACATTCTATGATGGGTAAATCGTCACCAGTCATATAATCTTTTCTTATTACTTACACTTAGAGTGTGAACCTAGTATGCGCTTCACTATTTCATCTTCACCTTTGTTGAGGCAACAAAGACGGTTCCAACGACAAACATTTGTACATTGTTGGGGCAACTTTTGGCAACACCAACAATCGTTGAGGTGATTTCCAGTGAAATCCTTTGTTCGTTTTTGTACTCTTTTCCTTTTCATTCTCATTCTCGCAACTGTTCATTCGTTCTTGTGTTCGTAGGTTTATTCTCGTTTTCTTATCTATTTTGTGCATTTTCATGTATGATGTTGGTGTTGTTTGTTATTGTTGGTCCGAAGAGAGAGAGAGAGAGAGAGAGATGTTGCGAAAGAAAAAGAGCATGACAGCGAAATGCAATGAAAGAAAAAAACAAGCGTTGCGACAAAATGTGAAGAGATGCGACAAAAGAGAAAGAGTGGGATGACAAGCACATGAAGAGATGTGACAACAAGAAGGAAATAATGATGTGGTGGCAGAATGCGAAGAGATATGATAAAAGAGAAAAAGGTGTAGTAGAGAAGAATTTTTTAACCTAAAAAATAAGAGTTTTATATTAGTTATTTTCATAATCGACATAGAAAGTTAAGATCTTCTATGTGGTTATTTTTATGACCGGTATAAAAAACAATACTTTCAAAGTCATTGAAATCTATAACAGATCTAAAATCGACGTAAAAAGTCATTTTTACCCATCATAAAAATTATCATACACATTAATGGTATGACTGTCTCCACATTAAATTATTATTTTTTAAATGAACGATGTATATAATTGATGGAAGAAACTTGAAGAGGATTGTTGTTCTTCAAGATTCGATCCGTCCAAGACCTTTTCACTCTTGAGAAGACTCGGATTTGAAGCTTGAAACACCTTGAATAATTTTTCAATCGTGGAGAAGAACTTAGGAGATTCGGCCACTCCAAGAAGATGAAGAAGCTTGAGGAACTTTTATTCAAAGGTTGAAGAACCTTTGAGAGAAAACCTAGGGAGAAGAAACTCCATGGTTTTGGTGACTTTGAGAAGAGAGAATTCTAAGAAGAATTGTTGATTTCATTCATCAAAAGTGTCTACAAATGAGAGGTTTAGGAATATATAGAAGTAGGAAGCTTGTGGAGGAAGCTAAGCTTAACCATGGTTCAAGTGAACCATGGTTGGCTTAACTTGACCGTCCACTCTAGTTTAGGAGGCTTGTGGAGCAAGCTTCTATCTTAGCTTGCTTGGGAAGCAAGCTAAGTTAGAATCTTGTAGCACAAGCTTCCTAAGGCTCCAAGGTTCATGAAGCAATCTAGCCAAATGAGAGAGCTAGGCTGCCTTGGGCTTGTTTCTCCACTTGATTTATTTCAAAGATTTTGGATTTGGTTTAGCTAGGTTCATCCAATGATGGTGAGACCTAGCTAAATCAACTCCTTGAAAAATATGGAGCAAAACAAGTCTAATATGTAAAATTTGGCCTAGGCCCAATTTTGGCCCAATTGTTAAACACACCCTTAAGCCTTGCTATTTGCCACCCCACTTCTACTACTGAAAAAGTAAAAATGAATGACCTTTAATACAAGTTCAAATGGAGTAAAAGTCTCCAAAGAACCTACTCTAAATTCAGTATACAATGATCTATAAAAAGGAAACAAAGTGCCTTACAAATACAAAGACAAAATAAACCTAGACATATTTACAAACATTTGAAAGTGTACCAACCTCGGTCAAATGGCGACCGAGCTCGAACCAACTTGGCTTGCCCAAGCTTAAATCACAACATCAAGTGGTTAATTTAATGGTAATAATGACGATTATACAAAGAAGGAAAACAAACAATAGCAGGTAAAAATATATACATTTCATTGGACAATCTCAGATAACTAACTTGATCGACGGAGTCCTTTTTGGAAGTACATCCGAGACACTTGGAGAAGGGAAACTAATCTCTCATGATCTCTTGTGAGACCAAGATAGAGAAGATGATTAATTTGACTTGAAGGACCGACTTGATTTTGGTAAGAACATCTTGGCGCTAGAATGAAGGTTTGCAAAACTTTCCTCCGATAACCTTATGGTTTTAATGTTAAGTCTCAATTTTACCTCTTTTTGGATGAGACTTATTGAAAAATTCCACTCATCCTCTGAACCATTGCAATATAATTGTTCTCTTTTTGGTTCATTTTGTGTGCAGATATAACTAACCCAAATTTAGCTAACAATACCTTAATACACCTCATTTTTGTGCAGGTATTGAGCTAGAGACTTGAGGATTGAAGACCCATAGGATTGGAAACTAAAGAAGCTACGGAGTAGAGAAGAGTGACTGCGCCGGGCGCAAGATGACCCGCGCCGGGCATGACCGAAACAGAGTATCTCATCTCTGCAAGTTATATTGTGCCGAGCGCAAAAGGAATTACGCCGGGCTTGTTTTGAGACAGAGAGTGCTTGACTTCTCTGGAAGGACCTGCACCGGGCGCGAAGAATTATGCGCCGGGCGCGAAACCCTAATCAGATCTCCCCAAGCTCGTATTTGAAGCCATTTTCGAGGGTTTATCCCTCATTCACGCAGGAGCGCCTCCAGAAGCTGCGGAAGGGATTCCGATGGCTTGGGATCGTTCGTGTGTGAATCCTTCCTTCGGTTCTTCACTTCTCCCTCAATCTCTATTTTGTATTTACCCTAATTGTTGAGTGGTTCTACCCATTTTTGTGGGGTTAGATGTAACCAACGTACTCTATTGTAATCCTTACGTATTTAATGATATATATATGTGTTGTTTCATTCTTTGTTGTGTATGTTTCTATGTTTAATGCTTGCTTTGGATTGATCACCCTTTGCATGATTTAAGGTTCCATTGATTATTGGGAAATACCATTGAAACTAGTTCTGAAACATATGCCTAGTGGGGATTGTATCTAGGGATAGAGCTTGACCCATTAGTAGTCTTAAATCCTAGCCCGTTATGCGGGTGTAGATATTGGGTACTCAAGGGATTGATATTCAAATCCACACCTAGGCTCTTGCTCTAAGGGATTAGGTTTGAGTAAACTTATGGGTTGACTGAGCAATGTATGTAACAAGAGATTAAGGATTCATTAGTGTAACGTTTGATGAAGTCTGACCCCCACAACCTCACAATACCATTATACCATTTCTTACCTTTTCCACTCACAATCAACTATTTTTGTAGTTTAACATTCCAATAGTCACAACCTTGAATTCACATGACAAACTATGAAATTGGAATCATTCTTTAGTCACGAATAGTCAATAAATGCTTATGTTACCTTCTAATCCCT